TATAACACAGATATTTACCTTAAACCACAAGTAAAGGGGTCCAGTTATAACAGAGATATTTACCTTTAACCACAAGTAAAGGGGTCCAGTTATAACATAGATATTTACCTTAAACCACAAGTAAAGGGGTCCAGTTATAACACAGATATTTACCTTAAACCACAAGTAAAGGGGTCCAGTTATAACACAGATATTTACCTTTAACCACAAGTAAAGGGGTCCAGTTATAACAGAGATATTTACCTTAAACCACAAGTAAAGGGGTCCAGTTATAACACAGATATTTACCTTTAACCACAAGTAAAGGGGTCCAGTTATAACACAGATATTTACCTTTAACCACAAGTCAAGGGGTCCAGTTATAACACAGATATTTACCTTTAACCACAAGTAAAGGGGTCCAGTTATAACACAGATATTTACCTTTAACCACAAGGAAAGGGCTACAGTTATAACACAGATATTTACTTTTAACCACATGTAAAGGGGTCCAGTTATAACACAGATATTTACCTTTAACCAAAAGTAAAGGGGTCCAGTTATAACACAGATATTTACCTTTAACCACAAGTAAAGGGCTACAGTTATAACACAGATATTTACTTTTAACCACAAGTAAAGGGCTACAGTTATAACACAGATATTTACCTTTAACCACAAGTAAATGGGTCCAGTTATAACACAGATATTTACCTTTAACCACAAGTAAAGGGGTCCAGTTATAACAGAGATATTTACCTTAAACCACAAGTAAAGGGGTCCAGTTATAACACAGATATTTACCTTTAACCACAAGTAAAGGGGTCCAGTTATAACACAGATATTTACCTTTAACCACAAGTAAAGGGGTCCAGTTATAACAGAGATATTTACCTTAAACCACAAGTAAAGGGGTCCAGTTATAACACAGATATTTACCTTTAACCACAAGTAAAGGGGTCCAGTTATAACAGAGATATTTACCTTAAACCACAAGTAAAGGGGTCCAGTTATAACACAGATATTTACCTTTAACCACAAGTAAAGGGGTCCAGTTATAACACAGATATTTACCTTTAACCACAAGTAAAGGGGTCCAGTTATAACACAGATATTTACCTTTAACCACAAGTAAAGAGGTCCAGTTATAACATAGATATTTACCTTAAACCACAAGTAAAGGGGTCCAGTTATAACATAGATATTTACCTTAAACCACAAGTAAAGGGGTCCAGTTATAACAGAGATATTTACCTTTAACCACAAGTAAAGGGCTACAGTTATAACACAGATATTTACCTTAAACCACAAGTAAAGGGCTACAGTTAAAACACAGATATTTACCTTAAACCACAAGTAAAGGGCTACAGTTAAAACACAGCTATTTACCTTTAACCACAAGTAAAGGGGTCCAGTTATAACACATATATTTACCTTTAACAACAAGTAAAGGGCTACAGTTATAACACAGATATTTACCTTTAACCACAAGTCAAGGGGTCCAGTTATAACACAGATATTTACCTTTAACCACAAGTAAAGGGGTCCAGTTATAACACAGATATTTACCTTTAACCACAAGGAAAGGGCTACAGTTATAACACAGATATTTACTTTTAACCACATGTAAAGGGGTCCAGTTATAACACAGATATTTACCTTTAACCAAAAGTAAAGGGGTCCAGTTATAACACAGATATTTACCTTTAACCACAAGTAAAGGGGTCCAGGTATAACACAGATATTTACCTTTAACCACAAGTAAAGGGGTCCAGTTATAACACAGATATTTACCTTAAACCACAAGTAAAGGGGTCCAGTTATAACATAGATATTTACCTTAAACCACAAGTAAAGGGGTCCAGTTATAACATAGATATTTACCTTAAACCACAAGTAAAGGGGTCCAGTTATAACAGAGATATTTACCTTTAACCACAAGTAAAGGGCTACAGTTATAACAAAGATATTTAACTTAAACCACAAGTAAAGGGGTCCAGTTAAAACACAGATATTTACCTTTAACCACAAGTAAAGGGGTCCAGTTATAACACAGATATTTACCTTTAACCACAAGTAAAGGGCTACAGTTATAACACAGATATTTACTTTTAACCACAAGTAAAGGGCTACAGTTATAACACAGATATTTACCTTTAACCACAAGTAAATGGGTCCAGTTATAACACAGATATTTACCTTTAACCACAAGTAAAGGGCTACAGTTATAACACAGATATTTACCTTTAACCACAAGTAAAGGGGTCCAGTTATAACACAGATATTTACCTTTAACCACAAGTAAAGGGCTACAGTTATAACACAGATATTTAACTTGGGCCTACTATCCACCATGACAAGAATCTAATTGTATTTTTTTTCCAGTTGAAGGTTTCACGAAATGCAAAATTTCTGCATTTTAAACATTTATACATGATTTACAAAAAGTAACTTTAAAACAATATCCAAATTTGGCCATTTTGGTGGTAGATTATTCAAGAGATGACATGCTAAATCCAAGGTCCCAACACCAGGGCCTTCCTGTATGCCGACGATTGTGCCCTATACGTTGGATCACAAAGCGGATATGCAGTGCAATGTTGCTAATTTCTTCATTACCTGCACAAGCTTCGACCTCACCATTAACACAATGAAAAGACCGAGATCCTGAACCAGCCAGCTCCTCGAAAATCTTTTGCTAAGCCTGACGTACAAGTATCTAGCGAGCCTGACGTTCAAGTATCTAGCGAGCCTGACGTTCAAGTATCTAGCGAGCCTGACGTTCAAGTATCTAGCGAGCCTGACGTTCAAGTATCTAGCGAGCCTGACGTTCAAGTATCTAGCGAGCCTGACGTTCAAGTATCTAGCGAGCCAAACGTTCAAGTATCTAGCGAGCCTGACGTTCAAGTATCTAGCGAGCCTGACGTTCAAGTATCTAGCGAGCCTGACGTTCAAGTATCTAGCTAGCCTGACGTTCAAGTATCTAGCGAGCCTGACGTTCAAGTATCTAGCGAGCCCGACGTTCAAGTATCTAGCTAGCCTGACGTTCAAGTATCTAGCTAGCCTGACGTTCAAGTATCTAGCGAAAGGCTTTAAGTTGTAAACAGCTTTTTTTTTTAACCTTGGCAGCACGCTGCACCAAAGCGCAACCATCGACGACGATGGTTATCTTTGTATTGCAAGACCCAGTGCAACCTAGGGGTAAAATGTCCAGTGCAACCTAGGGGTAAAATGTCCAGTGCAACCTAGGGATAAAATGTCCAGTGCAACCTAGGGGTAAAATGTCCAGTGCAACCTAGGGGTAAAATGTCCAGTGCAACCTAGGGGTAAAATGTCCAGTGCAACCTAGGAGTAAAATGTCCAGTGCCACCTAGGGGTAAAATGTCCAGTGCAACCTAGGGGTAAAATGTCCAGTGCAACCTAGGGGTAAAATGTCCAGTGCAACCTAGGGGTAAAATGTCCAGTGCAACCTAGGGGTAAAATGTCCAGTGCAACCTAGGGGTAAAATGTCCAGTGCAACCTAGGGTAAAATGTCCAGTGCAACCTAGGGTAAAATGTCTAGTGCAATCTGGGGTAAAATGTCTAGTGCAACCTATGGTAAAATATATAAAAACATTATGGACCATTGTAGGTATCAGCACTCAAACTAAAATTAGAGTATAGAAGGTGGCTGTATTCCGTACGCTTGTCTATGCCTGTCAAACGTTGAAGACCCCAACGTAATATGACAAGGCTCAGAGAAATCCTTTAACACCAAATGGCAGGACAGGGTACAGACACTGAAGTGCGCGCTCGGGTAAGTTTCCCCCAACATCCTAACCATTTTTAATGCAGTTCTCAGCTTCGTTGCGGGGCGGGGCAGGTTGTGAGAATGTCGGGCGACCATTTACCCAAATGAATAGTTATATGGCGAGCTCGAGCGTGGAAGACGGCTGGCTTGCCTGGTGGGCAGAAGAAACGCTGTAAAGGCGACCCAAAAGCCCCACTGTACGCGTTCCATGTAAACCTGGACACCTCGAAGTTATCAGCAAATGATCGAGCATAGTGACGTTCCTCTGTGCACAATGGGAGCCAGCACGAACACGAAGCCGACAGAACAGCGGGCTGTAGAGCATGTCAGAAAAGCGCGGGTTAATTCTGTATCTGGAGGCGCCCCGTCTTAAATACCTTTGTGGGAAAAGAAAACTGGAACTGTCAACGTTTGCTTGTTTAAAACTTGTAAATTAAAACATGGATTAGAATGACATACAATAAGCTGACACACACAGTTTTTTTCTTTAGAACAAATAAGACCTAAAAGTAGGCCTATCTTATGTATTTGATAGATACATAGTCAAATCCCAAAGCTTTTTTAAAAATTTTACCAACTTTGAGGCTTAAAGATTTAACAGATTTATATTATCAATGTGTCCAGAGTCTATAAAATAAAATATTTTCCGTACCAATTGTGAAAATTTATCAGTAAAGATTTTTATGGAGGAGGCTCCCCAGAGAAATAAATGGCATGTTTTTTTTGTTGTTGTTTTTTTTAATGTACTATAGTATAATTATAGGCTATTCCGTTTGTCATATTAGATATGTATTATAAGATATAGGCCAATATATATTGGCCCGAGATTGCATTCAGAAAAAAACAACCTCTACGGCCGTTTAGCTAACATCGAAATCTTTAAAATTAAAATAAAAAAATAAATAGAAAGTTAAGAAAAATATTGAAACTTTCTCCTCTAAACAAACTTAAACACATTCATTTGTTAATAAATACGCTCCCAGAGAGATCACATGTCATTTCCCGTTTTATAGTGGCCTATTTCATTTTGAATTTAAATGTGAAAGACAGCTGATAGAATTTGTTTATAAAATGTCAGGAAGTTTTAACACTACTAATTTGTTTCTGAAAAGGAACGTTCGATCTAAAATAATAGTATGTCAGCCAATGAAACATAAACATTGGAACAATATCTTTTGGTACATAATTTATGAGCTCTCTCATTTTAAAGTTTAAAAGAAATAAGTCACCATGGAGGTGAAACCTAACAACATGGATGGATTTCATGCCTTTAAACGGAAATAACATTGTGTGTGTTTTTTCATCCCCATCTAGAACTTAGTTTTTGCTTATTTTTGCTATCATCTAGTTGATATTGAAGTTTATGAAATGATTTGATGACTCTTTAGCTATGAAAAACGAAGAGGCACGATCTCGGTTCTAGCCATACTCAGTTCAGTATGACTATGACTATGATTTACTATGAATCATACTATGGAATGACTATGCCTAGGAACTCTTTAAACAAAAAGGAGAGACTAGATTATTATACTAGATAGTTAAGACTGTTAAGACTTAAGAAAGACGCCGAGAGTAATTATACCTAAACTTATTTTGATTACTCATCAATTTGGCACTCAGTTATCACATTAAATAGCCAAACACAGTCTTAGTATGAGAAACACAAGCATACTACTTAATATTGCTACACAAAATTCATTTAAAAACCTAACTTCATGATCTCAATTCATAAATACTAGCCCTACATTTTATCAGAATAGCCAATAGTTTCACAAACTTCCTCTGTGATCTGTTTCATGATCAAATTTTGCATGTCTAACATATAATGTAATTAAAATCAACTTTGGTTTTAGAAATGCAATTCTCAAATTTTTTTTATATGGTTTAATGGATGTTTCTACAAAATAATTATACAACACAGAGTAAAATTCAGACAACAAAAGGTTGTTTTTTTTCCATAGAAATTGACATGATCTAGGTTTGAGCCTGTTGTAACGTGGCACTTTTATACTGTCAGTCAAGATAACAATCAGTTTTATTACTTAACAAAATAAGATCTTTTGGTTTCGATCAACTTTTCCATGGTATTATAGTTTTTTTGTTTTCCTGCAAGAAGAGAAATGATATCGCATTTGCAATTGAAGATCAAATGATATGTGGAATGTTCTATGGCAACTGCTCATTTTGTGTTTTCTGAAGCATTTGTAAATTTGTTTCATATTCTCTCTTTTTTTTATAGTGGGTAGCCTGAGCGGGTAGCCACCGTTGCATCTGCTCAAAAGGCTATATTGGCTGATAGGATGAGGGTGATACTGAATTACAGTAATTTCTTTGAAAAATAAATAAAAGAAACCATCTTTAATCTTCATTACAGGCAAAAAAACTCCTAATGAGGTATATGGTTCAGCACGACTGAAATTGAACTGATAAATCTGGGGGCCATAAGAAATTTAAATTACTAAAAAAATTACAATGGAATAGAATTTTATATGTTAAAGTTAAAGTATAAGTTTGATACAAAATTAAACTAATGCAAGCACTAATGAGAACCCACAAGAAGACAGATTCATTTTCCAAATGCATTTAAAAAAATGACTAAAATCAAGGAAGAAGGAATATTAGAGTTGGAAAACATATCCAAACACAAGCGAGAGGAAATTAAAGAAAAAGCAAGTCGACACTGGGCTCTTTTGAGAGATTCAGTTTGCAGTGTCAAAAAGGTAAGTGTTGGAATTGTTGTAATAAATATGTGGGAACTTATTGGTTAATTTCCCCCATTATTTTTTTAAATCTGTAGCTTACTTGCAAATTAATTCAACTGAAGATTTTTAAAAATTGTGTTAACACTTGGTTCAAAATATTTTACAAGCATGGCTGATCATGATTCTGAGCTCAAAATAACAAAGAAATCATTATAGAGGGTAATAAATGTCTTTCCTATCATTCAGTACATGCCAGTACACTTCTTCCTAACCCTGTGATTCTAGATAGAAAAACATTAATGTTAAAATAAATGAAATTGTAAGTATAAATAGCAATTTCATATTTTGCTCATGAAAAAAATAAATCTTGTAATTTAAAAGTCCACATTTTGTTTAAAAACTTTTTACTTTATTAAAAAAAAACACCTATTTTTAACTAACGATAATTAAAAAAGTGTTGTTTTTTTTAATTAGAAAAAAAACCAAAACATTTTTTTTTAACTAGAGATAGTTCCTATTTTATGGGGAAAGCTGATTTTTTAATGGAAAATTTGTAACATCATCAACTACTCTGAATTCAAACCAGGAGCTAAAATGATCAATAAATTGATTGTGGGCCCTTAAATATAGGAAACAAAATTCTTGATGTTGATCATTTTCTTTGTTCTGATGACAGGCTTTGGAAGAGAAGGACATAAAAGATTTGACACTCATTCATGGTATCCACAGGGAGAGGAAGCTTAACCATGACCAGCCCATTACTATGGTCATTTATATCTCAGAGCATAGAGTAATATATTCTTGTCATGTAGATCTATATGTTTACATTTTACAAATTATTTCATCCATCAACTATCTTTTTTAAAATAAGTACTTTTAAAATATATCATTAAAGAATTCATTCAAATAGCCAACTTTAAGCAAAAATATTAATTAAATAACCAATACCCTGTGGTCGTTACATGACTTATTGACTATTTAACGCACTGGGCAAAAATTGATTTCTTCATGTCTGTTCATTTTATCTACATCCTTTCTAAAAATCTTCTCGCAATGCTTAATCCTCTGGTGGCTTTTTTCGCATCCCCTTTCCAATGTATCCAATGTAATATAGTAGATTTAGATATTATCTGCTATAATAGTCATGAGATGTACCCTGCAAAGTGCATGCTGCAAAAATTCTTCTTAGGACTTTTCCATTCCTTATGCAATCACAATATTTTCAAGGCATCTTTGAGGGAACACGTTCAATGTGTTTGGGTTGTCATTATTTTTCATTTTACATTTTCTAGTATGTTTGTTTAAAAAAAAAAAATTGTAGAATATGGAATATACAAATTTAAAAAAAGGGAATAAAGATGAATGTGGAAACTTTTTTTTAAAAACCCTCTCAAAGATAAAAATAGTGAGATGATTTACTAGAAGCAATAAATTTAAAACTTTAAAGATTTTAATAAATCAAAATTCTTTTGATGTTTATGTCCAGGAGTACCTTACTTGTGATGGACAGCACTTCCGCATCTTTCATGAGGATGGGCTTAAAAAAGATGTTGTTGAATCTGAGTTTGGCTTAGACCAGGTTGTCTATTGTAAGCAGAGCAATCAGTTTGTTGGATGGGTCATGAAACAGGAAGATCTTTTTGTGAGTAAAAAAAAAAGTTTAATCTGGCATTTTGTAAAATAATTATTTAGTAAAAAATATTGTTTGCTGAAATTTTATGTCAAGCTTTAAACCCTCCTCTTAGCAAATCACTGGATAATAACATAAAGCAAAGTATGTGCATGCTAATGTAAAAGACTTAATTGTTTAGGATTGTGTGTAGTTTTTGAATGAGTAATCTCAGATTTGCCACATGACTTCTCACTAGCTCATGTCAAAGGACTTTGCTGTAATATCCCAGTCAAAAGCTGTGGGACCTATCACTTCAGCAATCTACAATGATAAAACAGGGGAGTTAATCACTTTTGGGCCTCATTTTGTAACAGTAAGTTGTTCATGGATCATTAACCAAGAAAACAAACTGTTTTGGGGTAGGAAAGAGGTTTTTTCCCCATGTGACTATGTTTTGCTTGCTTTTAATCTAGGAAATCTTCATAACCATCTTCATTACAAGTTGAAAAACTGATTTGGGAAAATTTATACCAGAATGGATACTTATTTCTCACCTCCATCTCATCAGCGACCCCACATAGCTTATCAATCAATATTGCCCTTATCAATATGAGCTTGGAAGATTATAATGGCCATGTTCATTTGTCCTAATTTCAAAATTTTAACTTCACTTATCATAAAATGGGTAAATTAAGAATCTTCCAAACATTGATAGATGAAAAAAGATGTACTATCAAACAATAAACCCTTATATCAAATGTTATCAAAATGTTTGAAAACAAACTCCCAAACCTTAATAAACTAATTGAAATAAATAAATGCATATCATGTGTTAAGTGATATAAATTTGAAATTAGATAAATGGATAAACCAATATTTGGTTACTAAACTAATTTTAAGCTTTTGTGTATTAAATTTTTTGTCTTTAAAAACCATAAAAATTGCTTTTATTTTGCCATTTATCTTTGGAATGATCTGTGAAAACATAAGCACATAAACAAGTTACATTATGGTGTTGCCCTGGAAAACCCCCCGAAAAATTAGTTTTACCCCAGTTAAATATTTTGTTAAATTTGATACAGATTGAAAATAATAAAATATATTTTCTAACAATGTCATTTTTTATTTCGTACAGTGCTGGTCATTCCGTTATGGGGCCAGATATTTAACCCCAAGAAGAACCACAAGAACCAACTTTGGGGAAGACAGCATGTTCTCAGCTATGGTCCTAGAAGAGACAGCCAGCAAATCACAGAAGATCTTCTTTGCCGTGGGAACTGGAGTCTTGGTAGGATGAAACTTTAAAGAACTTGTGAAGTCTTCACCAAGCTTCACCAAAAGATTTGTTTTCATTGAAACGTTTCTTAATTTCTCCCTGGTAGTTTGAAGCAGGGTGATGTATCAGTGTCTGAGTGATGATCTTCTTGGAATGTTGTATGTGAGAGATAGGCCATTAGGGTATCATTTAATAGTCAATATGGTTTTGATTAATAGTCCAAACAGGTGTAACAAATGGTCTTTCTGGGTTAAGACAAATGTGCAATGTCATTGTGGGAAAAAAATTTCTTTAGGGTTGGCATAACAATGCAATATTCATATAAATAAAAAAAAACTATAAATTAGTTGTATATTTAATATCATTTTAAGATATAATTCTTTCATAACTAAGAATACATAAAATATTATAGTGAACTGTTGTCTAATTTACACGATGACCCGATTTCCTGGATTTTTAGAACTTTAAAAAAAATTTACTTTAAAATTTGCTTTTGCAAAGTGGTCAAGTCTCTGATTCTAACTTTGATATTAATGAGATCAGGTGCATAATGTGTTCTCTGGCCTTGAAGTGGACAGAAAAAATGATTTACATGCTCAGCCAATCACAGCCTTGACCTTTTTCAACCCTTTGAAATACATCATCACCGGTGCCAGAGATGGATGCAGTAAGTCACGCATGACTAGTCTGTTAAGTTTTAAAACTAACTTTTATAAATTGTAACCCATCTTTCAAATATTAAAATAATATATTCACAGAATTTTTTTTACCCTTGACTGCTTATTATTATGCCATGAATTGTAAAAATGAAATGATTAAAAAATTCAAAATTCCTAGCTTGCAGACACAGACAATATAATAGTTTAAGGAAAGTCTTTTCTTTTTTTCAACTGGCTTTGTTCAATATGTTTGTTTTCCCATATCAGTAAATTATTTTTTTCAGGAAAAACAGAGAAATTAACAAAGATGTTTAAGCACACTTGCCATGGACATTTTATTTAGCAGTATATATTGGAGAAGGATGATTAATGTTCATTTGCATTTTATTTTATTTTCATCAAATAGTCAAAGTCTGGGACAAGAACTGGAAGACACTGATGGTATTTGTTGGTCACAGCAAGGCAATCAATGTACTCAAAATCTATCCCTATGGTCCGTCCTTTATATCTGCATCACTGGATTGTACCATTCGAGTTTGGAACATGGAGACTTGTGATGAAATAGACAGGTGATATGCTCATTAATGAATGCAATTTTTAAAAAAAGCCATTTGACCTCTTCTAATACAGAACTATTTCTTTTTTTTTATAGTTGGTTTTACATATCTGAATTGATAAGATTTTAAAAAATAATTTGGGTGAAAAAAGAAAACCTTACACCACATTTCTTTTAAATATTTTAATTTTTTATGTTTCAGGTCTAAGTTGTTTTTTTTCTTTTTGTAATTGCTGATATTCTCCAAATATAGAGTAAACAACTTAGAGTAAATTTAATTTAGGATAAATTGAGATGACGTGCATCATTTTAACAAGTAAAATAAAAACACTTAACAACCAGTTATAAATGTTTAAAATTAACTTTAAAATGCCCTCAGGGAGCTGGAGGCTTGAGGTAATCCTTGCTTTGTTTTTTTGCATCTCAGGACAGTGATAAGTGAACCTGTCCAGGGGATGGATACTGTCATAGACTATGAAATATTTTACACATTTGCTGGTAAACATGTGGATCTCTGGAGGCTCCACCATCTTTTCCACTTGCACACAAACATAGGGTAAACATTATTTCATTGTAAAAACTGGCTACAACTTGCTCCACTACCATAATGGGGCATCATTTGCCATAATAGAAAATTGGGACCTGTGAAAATTCAAATACACCTAAAGTCATTATCAACATTGGGTGACACAGTTCTTAAAAAGCAATAAATATATGTTAGATATATTTTGGTTGCAGTTTTGAAATCATTGCTAATGTCACATTTTTGTTAAATATATGCATTTTTATATCACAAATGTTTAACTATTTTCTTAATATATCTTTAAAACAAACACATAAACAAATCCCAATTTCTAGGCCGAGCTCATTTGCTTTTCCTTTTTGGTTGGTCACAACAGATCAAGGGTTAGTCATGTCAAGGTCACAGATCACCCCTCTTTCCCGAGAAGAGCAGTTTTAATGTGTCGAGACTCCACTGTCCGTATAGTTTGTCCATCCAATGGGGAACTAATCACAAGCCTGTTATTGAAAACTACAGATGGTTTGGCTGATGTTGTGTATGCCATTGCTGAGGGTAAAGACTTTCATTAAAGTTGTTCACAGATGCTGAATTTTGGTATGGTCAAATTAAAAAAATTTAATATAATTTTTTTTGTAAAAATCATTTGACCCTGCCATTTAATAGTTTTATTGCATCTGGCTTTTTAATAAGAGAAATAATTAACAGATTCAGCTTTCAGACATTAAATCAAATTGTCTCAACCATTTTAAAAAAAATTGCAAAGAAATATAACATTTATCTGAATTGAAAGAATCAGATTTCTTAATTCATTTTTTTTACCTTATAAATTGTTTATTTTACTCTCAGATACTTTATTTGTCCTGTTGGTCAATGGTGATATTGTTAAGGCCACAACTGAGCAGAACCCTTGCAATGTTGTGACCAGATGGGAATGCCCAGATACAGCAGGTACTTGAAGTGCACATAGCCTATTTGAGAAATACTTTTATGATTTTTTAAATATTTTTGTTGTTTAAACTACAATCTTTTCTTTACAAGAACTTGTTGGCTTTAGAGAAAACACTTGTAGTAAACCACTTTAAACTACAAGATTGAAAAAGTTAAAGAGGAATTTATAGGGAGAGGTTAGAACTATTATTGTCCATCTGAATCTGAATTAAAACCTGAGATTAAAAAAAAATAGCAACTCTTCTTACACTAAATCATCATAGATGTTGAAGATATCAATATTAACTTTGACAATGATTTTCTATTGGAATTATTTACATCAGCTTAAATTATTTTAAAAATGTATTTCATCACATTTTATCAAGTTTACCACAAATCATTATTATAGGGCTACAATGACGCAAAGAACTACCATGGCATGCTAAGCCTCCACTGATTAATTTCATGATAATCATGCTTCAACACTCTGAACACCATACTTCAACACTCTGAACACCATACTTCAACACTAAGAACACCATATTTCAACACAATGAACACCATACTTCAACACTTTGAACTACATATTTCAACACCTAGAACACCATACTTCAACACTTTGAACACCATTTCTTTTCTTACAACAGAAAAGTTTGCCACTCTTGTGTGTATTTGTTGTTATTGTTGCAGAACTGATATAAAAGTCAATCAGCCAACATTTGAAGTATTATTATTACTATTATTATTTATCATTACTAACATAATGCCCTTTTTTTTCCTTTGGCATTATAGAACTGTGCAGCCACTTGTTGGTTTATGAATATGTTGTTGATCCAACTGCACCCAGTGATGTTTGGTCCAAAGCAAGGGAAGCCGTGCAGAATAACAAACGAGGGGGCAGCACAAAGACTAATAAAAACATGACATTGTTGCTTGGTGGAAGAAAGGATGGTTCCTTGTGTGTATTTGATTGGTTGACTAGGGATATCACTTTCAAAATTGAGGTCAATATTTACACCTTATTACTTAAAGTTATCATTTTAAAAGAAAGTGACCTTTTTTAAATATATATTAGATCTAGCAGAGATAGGAAAATTACAATTAATATTAATTTTTTAACAATTTCTCTGCACGTTTATAATTTCATTCTTATTGTTCAATACTGGTTAAGACCAGAAACAAGATCAAGACATAATACAAATATAGTTATTTATATATATTTTAAAATTTGAAGAAGAAAAAATGATCCTAAATATATATATATATATATATATATATATAATATATATATACACATACATAAAATAATGAACATACAGGCTTAACCATTTTTAGATGGCTCTAAATACACATTATTTTATTGTCTTACATAGAGGCTGCACAAGGAGTAAAAAAAAAAGAATACCTTTTTTGCTTTGAAAATGAACAACTTCTTTTGAAATTATTAGCTTTTTAAAATAAAATAACAATGACAAATGCTTAAAATACAAATGTTGTATTTAGGGCCATGGTCAGAGAGCTGTGCTGGACATGATAGCCAATACAAGGGAAAACCAGCTGATCACTGCAGGAATGGGTTTGTAACTTTTTAGTTAGTTCATTAATTGTTAGGCCAACGCTCTGGCTGGGTCAAGTAAGATTCCAATGATTCTGTCACCAGGCGTTTGAGATGGCTTCAGCTTTTTAAATGTATGATTTACTTGAATTCATTGAACATGTTTAAAATGTTACAGAGCTTATTTTTCATGTTGCACAGCTCAGGGCTTTAAAGTAAAAACTTTGAATGATCAATGTAAAGTTTTTTAAAAACAAAAATATTTTGGCAGACAACATCATAAAAATCTGGAGGGTGTACCCATATGCCGAAGAAGCCTTAACCCCACTGATGTCATTTTACTGTGCCCAGACACCGTCTCTCATGACAACAATAAACACAAGACTGGGTGTGTCTTTTCAGGACCCATCCACTGCAACCTTCAGCGTTGTTTTGTACAGCCTCGGTGACAACAGTGAGTCATCTTCAAATGGGACTGACTGTTACTTTATGGGATAATTTGTAGGATATTGTGATAGTCTTTTTTCAATAGCTGACCTGAAAAAAATAACTCATTGTCTTTTAGAAGGGGAGCCTAGAGAGAGAAGTGCAAGGGAAGCAAATGGAGTTGAACATTAACATAATGTTAGATAATTTATTTTTAACTAATTTAAAATTGACATACAACTGATAAGTTGAAATCTAAACAAAATCAAATATGATCCATAAAATATTATTTGCATCATACAAGACATAAATACCAAAAGCTGTTATTAATATGTATTTCCCACTATAGAAAAAAAAAACAAGAACACAACTCCCATAATACCTCCGTATAACCTCATTACATCTATAAAGTCTATGAAAAAAACATTTAGCACTTGTTTAAACTCTTTTGAAAAAAAATCTTTCCATGAGCCTATCTCCCATGAAATCACTCTGTGATGGCCTAAGAAGTTTCATTTCATGAGCTAAGGCTACTCATAGATTTTTTTAGTTTTAAAAGATCAAAAGTGCTGAGGGCTCTTGTAATATGTTTTATGCTGAACCTTTAAAAAAATAGACCAATACCAATACATCAGGTACATTGCAACTATAAATAAGGTGGCTTAAATAAACAGTCATATCATTTTGTTTGATTGTATTAATTCACACTCTGTCCTTAAACTAAACCCTCGATATGCTGCCATCTGTTATCATTTTCACAGTTATTTCAGAAATAAAGAACTTCTTGCCTCTTGCTTATTTCTTCAGGTCGAAGTGACCATAAGCCCGATGATGACCACATGGATGTTATAACTGGCTTTACATCATGTCCACGCATGAAGATTTATGCCTCATGCTCCATGGATGGGACGATCCGCGTTTGGAGTGAAAGTAACACTCTAATAAGGTATTGTTCAATGTTTGGACACAAATTCTATCCACATAAGCTTTTTAAAATCTGGCCCGTGTCAATGTTAAATTACTCTTTAAGGTTGTGGGAAGTGATTAAAAGAGTTTTCTATGTTTTAATATTATTTCCCCCGTGTAATGTTTCAACTTTTGCTGTAAACATATGAGCTATGAACTATAACTAATATGCTATAATGCTAGTTATTTAAATGGAGATATATTTTTTTTTTCTGTGGACTTGATAAATTGATTTTTGGAAACTGCTCTCTGATTGAGGGAATATGAATTTCATGTAATAATTTTTTCCCAAATGTTTTATTGTATTATTTACGGTTATATTCTTGTATATTTTTTTGTCAGGGTATTGCGAATCAACACCATCCCACACAGCATCTCATTTTGCAGCCCTAAGGGCGACCTTCTCATTGGTGTCAACAACCATCTCTTCTTCATTTCACATCAAAGGTGTAAGTTTCTGTACTGACATTTCAAGGACATGGATGAACTGGTTTGCTTATCTTCTGCTATATTTATAAAAAAGACACCAAAAAAACTGTAATTTATTTAATACTTTAGAAGTTGTAAAGTTTTTGTCTGCCATTTTCTTTTCTTCTTCCTTTTTATTTACATTCTGTAAAAAAGCTGAAAATGTCTTTTGAAATCAGACCTCCCCAAGTCTTACCTGAGAAAACAAGTCTGTATGAAGTTTTTGCCTATCAAGTGTGAAGCTGCCATCCCCTATGATGAGAAAAGACTTGGCAGCATGGACAAGAATGATGTGAAAAGACTAAAAATGGCCCATGCCTCCTTCAAGTCAGTGTTTTAAGAATTTAATTTTTTTTTTAAACATTTTTTGTTAAAAAATGAATCACATATTTTTTCATTTTTGATATGACAAAGTGAGAGTTTGTTTTAACACTATTTCTCTTCCCCAATGAAGGTATTTGTTTCCGATTTCGAAAAAAATAATTTTTTTAATAAACCCGTTCCTAGTTTGAACTTTTTTTTGTCTCACCACTTTTCTAACAGGTTCTCAAATTTTGTGGACGTCTTATCCCCTGAGGAAGAGGCAGCCATCTTGCAAGAGAAAATCATTAGAGAAAAGGTTAATAGAAATGTTGATGTTAATCTACTACATTCTATTTAGTAACCTAGTAACAGAGGAGGATGGTGTCAAAAAAGCAAAGCTCCTGCTTGAACTTCAAGAAAAGCTAATTGATTTTTCTTTGAACTACCCATACAACTGATTACATTTATTTAGGCCCTGTTAGCTTTTAAACTACTGTTATGAATGCTACTATAACATCATGCTAATACTCAGCACTGTACTTAATGGTCAGGACGCACCATCATGCTAGTGCTCAGCACTGCCCTTAATGGTGAAGGGATTGTTTTAACCACAAGAAAATTCCTTTTTCTAAGTACTGGTGCTACATTGGAAAAACAACAAAAAAATAGTTTGTGCATCATCATCATATCGATTCCCTGATCAACAAGCCACTGTGCTATTTTTAATGTTAGCATTCATAATATCATAGATAATGAAAGTTCAATGACCTACATAATATAATGCAGAGGTTGTGTGATTGTGTCAGGGTCAAAGTGCACATTTTTGTTTATGGTGAAAGTGCACATTTTTGTTGGATCAAAGGGCACATATCTGTTTCACAGGCATTTGGGCTGCTGGAGATTCGAGACAATGAGCTGCACCAGATTAGAGACGGCGCTCTCATCACACACGATAAGCCCAAGATAAGCAAGCAGACAAAGAAGAAAGCTTTCAAGGAGTACATGAAGATGTACTACAATGTAGAAAGAATAAAGGTACATTTTAAAAAAGTTGCATGGGACATTTGGGGGCATAGTTAAATGAGTGGGGGGCAAAAACATTTCATTTGAATCCAAGCCGGTGAGAAGAATAAACTATAGTTGTGAGTTTCAAAGATTACTCAAAATGACATAAATTCATCTTTATGTTACACATGTCATGAATGATTTTCAGCCTCTATGTTTGGAAAAATAATGTATGATTTTATTTAGATTTCCTTATAACAAGATAGTTCTTTCCCCTTCCTGTTTAGCTACCGGTGGTAGAGAGCACCAAGGAAGCTGTTAAGAGAAAACTTAATCAAGAGCTGCAAGCTTTGGAAGGAGTGGAAGAAAAAGGTGAATACCCAGTTTAGGAAAAAAAAAACTTTAAAAAAAAAAAATTTAATTAAAAAAAGAAAGAAATTATAGCTAATCTTACTGACGTCAATTTCTGTTCATGCATAGACCACTGAGATTCTGATGGTTTGAATAGAGTTCCGCTAAACAGTAGAACAGATTAAATAAAAGAAACTCAAAATGTTAGCCAATTTCTTTTACTCTCAGTGCTTTGACATCACATCTAGATTTATTCTGTGCATCTCCAATGTGTTTCAATTATACTGTTTATTGTCACCTAAGAAGAGAAATACAGGCCAGAGACTCCACCCCTGGGATTCTTTGCTGAGCTGGGTCAGAAGGAGAACCTGCCACCAGACCACGCCTGCTTCCCAGCATCAATAACATCGGGCTACCTCCCAAACTCTGTCCTGATCAAACTGCTCTACCCTCCACCAAAGCCGGAGGAGGAGGACAAAGAGAAAGTCCCCTACAAGCCTCCAAAATTAACAAGAAAACAGCTGTCTGAGATACAGAGCCTCTACCCTGTAAGTGTTGTCGTCGGACCCTTTATGGATCTTGGTTACACCTAAGAATGTGAAAGTGTATATAATTTACACATAATGCCATCACAGGAGTAACATTTACATAATATAATGGTGTCTAAATATTCAAAAATTTCTCTTAAATTTACAAAGGGAATTATTCCTCAGCTTCTAGAATTGTTAAAATGTTTCTTAAACTTATTAAAAAGAAGCATACATATAATATGCTGAGCTTGAAATATTTTTTAACTACAGTTATTTCCCACACAAAGAGAGCAGCAGTTATCAACTGCTCAGTGATTCTCAAGTTACTCACCGGTAGTTCAGTTTTTAACTGGGCTGTGTGAGTTTCTTAAAAAACAATGAAATACCCATAAAACGAATTACAGCTGCCTGCAGTATATAAGTTGTAGTTAACCAGCGGAAGACGCTCTCGGTAGGTTAACAATATGACTCACTCTGTGAGAAGAGGCTGGGGACCCTTGGATTAAACCATTGCCTTTATGAGGTTCTGGCTTTGAGGCTCATTAAAGATCTAACCTACTGGCACTATTCAACAGAGAAAGGTCATTGAGGTTGACCCAGATGAAATAGATGATGGTCCAAGCCGAGGGGTGACCTTTGAGACGGATGAACATTTGACCCGTGTTTTGGAGGTTGAACTGACGGATGAAGAAGAAGAGAAAGAACCAACAGGTTGGGTTCATTGTTAGTGTTGGCACAACAGGTTGGGTTCATTGTTAGTGTTTGTACAGCAGGTTGGGTTCATTGTTAGTGTTGGTAAAACAGTTTTGGATCATTGTTAGTGTTGGCACAACAGTTTTGGATCATTGTTAGTGTTGGTACAACAGTTTTGGTTCATTGTTATTGTTGGTAAAACAGTTGGGTTCATTGTTAGTGTTGGTACAACAGGTTGGGTTCATTGTTAGTGTTGGTACAACGGTTTGGGTTTGTTGTTAGTGTTGGTACAACAGTTTGGGTTCATTGTTATTGTTGGCACAAGAATTTGGATTCATTGTTGGTGTTGGCTGAATTGTTCTTATGTGTGTTCTAATTAGAGCTGCAGTCAATGAAAATATATAATATGTCAACAATATTGATTTACTTGTGTGACTTTCTTGAAGCAAATCAAATAGTCATGTAGTGTTAGAATATTTTATTTTATAGCAGAAATATTTACATTCAAGAAACATTTATCAATACTATGAGTGGCCCTTAAATCTATAAGTTAACACTTCTTTAGACAGTTTAATTGTGTTAGGCAGATGTGCTTTGTATAAATTCTGTCATCTAGTTAAACATGTTAATATATAAAGTAGTAAGTACATTTTTGGTCTAGGTTGGCACATATGATCTCTTCAGTTCATTTATTTTAAAACATATAAGATTTCTTTAAAATTATCAAGATATGAGATAGAAAGCAGTATGCTTTTTTTCTGCTTTATTATTTTTAATATTTATTTTTTTTACCAAGAATAAATTATGCCCAAACATTTGTTTATATTATTGAAATTGTGCTACAGATCTCATGGTCTCTGAGACTTCTTCAGTGAAGATACCTCCCAAAACAGTATCAAATTTATCGGATGCCTCTGGTATGCCAGTTTCTCTCTTTTAATGCTTGTGTTGTGTTTTGTAAAACTCAAAAAAATGGTGGTGCGGCTTTAGGAAGTTTCTAATATAATTCCAATTGACCTGATCAACAATCTTCAAACATGTCTTGCATCATTTTATGGACATACTTTACAACAACCATTTTTCTGACAGGTTTTATTTATTTATTTATTTTTTGGCTTCCAAGTTTCCCAAGCAGGGACACCTTTGCAACAAAAGATGCGTCAGTTAAGACAGAAAAAATCCATAAAGTTTTCTAAAGATGTTGTTGATTCCAGTGATGATGAGGATGGACCAGGCCAACCTGAGAAATCTTCACTCATGTCCAAATTTCAGGAGATCATGGCTAAGCCAGCCCCAGAAAAGGTTTCAGCTTTTCTTCTGTTTAACTTCATGGGGGTTAATCTTACACTGAACAAAAACATACAGCTTCTTTTATTTACCGCAGCTTAGCAATGAGGTGGGATCTGGAAATGACGTTGATTGTTTTAAGTGTTAGTTTCATGGTTGCAATCGTGCTCAGGCTATAATGGAATTCTGTAGGACAAGCCCAGAGTTGGAATGTATTCTGAAAAAAAAAGTTTAAAAATGTATGAATATTTTTATTTTATTTGACCTCATTTCAGGAAATTGTAAACAAAGCCAGTGAAACGCCAAGGGTAAGTCCAAACTATTTTGATTTTTCAACAATTAGGTTTTTTTTGGTTTAAATGCTTTGTCTTTTAAGCCCCTCATACATAACTGTATTAACCTCAATATATATGTATCCAATAAAAGAATGTTTCATTTTATTTGATTTTCCCTGATTCAGGATGTGAGAACACCTCCGGTCAAGGTCGCAACACCTCCCGCCGAGCCAGTGAAACGTCCACCGCCATCACCGGTCAAGCCCATCAACAAGTTTGTCAGCCGGCCTCACCCCACCCCTGTTGCCACTCGGTCACCGACACCACCACCCCCACCTATTCCATTACCCAGCTTCATAAGACAGTTCGTTGGAGCCGACTGGTTTGACAAGTATTTCCCCAACTGTACGGAAAATGTGAGAACCTTTGTGTCAGCTCGTAGATAAGCTATTTATAATGTCTAATAACAAAACAAATTTTGAAAACAAATTAATTATGGGAAAATAAACATTCAAAAAGAGATACGTTCATTCACTCATAACTAATTGCATACACATTAAAATTTATACACTTTTATTATATTTGCACTCTGTAAGGTCAGAATCTGAGTTGTATCTTTTTTTTAGAATTATGCTGAAATATTTTTTGCTGTTATTTTTTATGAATGTTCTGAATCACTGGATTGAACAAATTCATTGTGTGCCTAAAGTAACGGTATGGAAACCCCCACACTTTGAACATGTGTATGCATTTGTCAATGGCTTATAGCTCCAGCCACCACATGTTTTCAGTCATGAAGTTGGGCATTTGCGGTTGCATGTGGGTCTCTTAACCGAAGAAAAATAATAAATAGTTGACCGTGCCTTCATGAAAAATGGTCTCAAATTTACACCAGGATTTAAGACTATTAAAAGTTCTAAGTCCTAAGAACTAAATCTCTCATGCCAAAAAATAAATGATCATTTGTTCTCAACAAGAACTAAATCTCTCATGCCAAAAAATAAATGATCATTTGTTCTCAACAAGATGTTTTAAGAGCAATCAAACTGTAACTTTAGTTTGGCCTTTAAAAAAATTAGCTAATTGTTGATGGCCTTAAAAAAATTATTGACCTGAGCCAATCTTGATCTCAAGTAATCTTCAGTTACCATTCTGCATACAAATTTTCATTGGCTTATAAATCCCCTGATATAATTAATTACCTTGATTTCTATAATGCAGACTATGCCCAAGCCATGGACAGGAGATGTTTTTGTCAACATGATTGTCAAATTACTCCGCATCGCTGAATGGCTCCACAAAGTGTCTGTGACCGAGGCCATACTGGCCATCCACTCGTCTGAAGGCTTGAGTGACTCTGTCCTCCAGAACGTGGTCAAGACTTTGCTGTCCATGTTGAACCATTACTCCAGCCCCCCGAGCTGTTCTGTCCCAGAACAGAAGGAGTTCATTCTTTCAGCCGTGAGAGCCCTCGCAGCATTCGCTGTTCGTGATAAGGATGTCGTGGCTGAATTGATTGTGCAATTTCTGGATGGAGACGCACTAGTCAGGTGAGGACGCCATCGTTGAAGTTAATGTTCATATAAAGTAGATTAATAAACTTCAGTTTTATTTAAGAAAATTTCCGCTGTTCCTAATGTTTGGAAGCATGATCTAAGATTAAAATTGAAGGGTATTGTTAAGAGTTTCTGATCATCCACATTTTCTGAAGCATGACAGAAGAATGCAAATGAAAAGTAAATGTAAAACTTGTTATGACTTCCCAATTATTGGAAGTTTGACTAACAGGAAAAAAACAACTGTATGGTGATTTTATCTGTTCTCTTTATGCATTTCAGGTCAGCTGTCCTGGAGGTCATGAATAACCTGGGACTGGTTGATCCTCACAGGCAACTCCAGAAAGAGCTCGACTCGTGGGATATTTGGAGCTTGGAGGAAAAAACACACAGAGAAGAGTTACATCAGATGGCCAATCAGTGGCTGGACAGGTGAGGGTTGGTCTTAGGCTGGTAACAGTAAATAGAGTTTAAATAAAGATTTTTTGAGTAAAGTTGACATCATAGACTGCTGTCAGTTATTTGATTAGGTTTATTGCCCATTATTTCTGTTCATCAAGTCTCATTGATAAACCCAGGCCAAGGCCAAATTACCTGCTGTTATGATGTATGCAGAGCCACTTTGACACATGAATCATGGAACATACAATACTGCTGTAATATATTGTACCAAACTCAGTGTGGGGAGGGGGAACCTGAAATAAAATGTCTTTAACCAATGTTTTAAATTTCCTGTATAATTATATACCCAGGCTGAATGCAGTCTTCTTTTTAATATAATGCAGTATACCAGATGAAAAGTTGTAAAAAAAAAATATTTTTTTTTTTAAATAATAATTTCAAAAGTTAATTTAATTTTTTTTAAACCTTTAATAGTCTGCACAGTTAGTAGTTCTTTGAAAGAACAATTATTTATGACAACTGTCATCATTTCTTTGACAGACACAATTATTATTAAGAAACCAGCCATTTGTTCTGTTTACTTTTTCAGTCACCATGGGGCTCAACTCTGTTCAGGTGTTTATCTTGAGATCAATTTTTTTCTACTGTATGTTCTACTGGGTGTTTGACTTTTTGTTCTTTTGTGTGTTCTATTGTATGTTTTACTGTGTGTTCTATTGTGTGTTCTGTGATGTGTTCCATTTATGTGAAACATTAATTCTGATGCTTTCTCTGTCAATGTTTAACGTACTTTATTTTCTTGTTCACGCCTTATACTGTTTCTTTCCAGCAGCAAATATATATTTGCATTCAGTGTCAGCTTTGTAATCATTTTTCAAGCCGGTGCAAAATGTCTGAGGTGTGCTGACTTAAAACATTACTTTATTTATACATTTTTTGGGGGCTTTTGGCACCACCTTCAAAATTGTGGCCAGTTTGTTCACACCCTTTCTCCGTCCTCATGCAGCCATTGTTCACAGCTTTTAAAAAATGTATCTTGCCTTTTCCAAATTTCACAATTCTATCTGGTTTTTAAATATCTTCTTTTTATAGAATTTTTTGTGTGTAAAAACATGTTCACATTTTTCGGGGTTTTCTATGTGTCATAGTGTGTCATAGTGCGTCATAGTGTCTCATATTCATGTTTTGTCATTTTGAAAATTATATTTAGATCTCTGGGCAAACCCGGCCACGTGGTGTAAAATACGTAAAGATGTACAAAATCTATTTTTTAAAAATGCGCTTTTTCAAGGAGGCACCAAAAGCACAGAAAAGAACACATTCGTTGCACAGAAAAGAACACATTCGTTACAACACAGTACTTTGTGCCAACTTGTCGTTACTCTACTAATGGTGGATGTATGGAGCGCCCTCGGGAATCCTCCCCCCCCCACCCCAGGGTATCGCAAATAGTACATTGTCAACTAAAGGATACATGATCATATTTTAAAAAAAAAAAAAAAATAATTTTTCATTTTGTTCTGCGAAGGCTTTTAGTTAAGGGAGAGGTGGAGGTATGGGGCGCCCGCGGGAATCCTCCCCCCCCCACCCCAGGGTATCGCAAATAGTAAATTGTCAACTAAAGGATACATGATCATATTTTAAAAAAAAAAAAAAAATAATTTTTCATTTTGTTCTGCGAAGGCTTTTAGTTAAGGGAGTTAAGCCTTAAAAACTATTTTAAAGGTGTTAAACAGTATTACCTTTCTTGAATTGGGATGACAATGTCCACTCGGGATTATTCTATTAAATTTTCACACACACACACACACACACTCTTATGGCTCATAAATCAATCAATGTTCAAATATATGTGTCAATCAAAAACCCTTCTCAGCGTTTTTGTCTCTTCATATACATTCACATTTTTATGATTGGCTGTCCCTGTCTCTGCTCAGGTGGATGTCTGCTTATCAGATGAGGATACAGGACACTGTAGCCAAACTCAACACGGGACACAGTTTTCAGGGACGTCTGGGAAATCCTGGACAAAACTCTAGACGGGTCAGTCATTCGACACACTTTCTTTACCTGTCATTGTTAACTGTTTCTTACTGCACGAACCAGGTGCTGATTTAAAACTGAAATTTGTTTTCTTAAGTCTTTTTTAATGAAGGATTTAATGTAGCATAATTTAAAAAATAATTACATTTATTATGTCAATATAGGGCACAATGCAAACTGACGTGAGCGGAGGGCAGCTTAAGGTCCCAGAATCTTTGAGGACAGGCAGGACATCATCCACATCCAATGGCAGCATTACAAGTAGGTCCTTGTGGGGGGGGGGATACAAATGTATCAATGGGAAACCTCCACCCTACCCTCGAGCGCAATAATTAGGGTCGATAAAATTGGAAATGCAGGGTCGCATCATAGTGGGGTTTTAGCACCGTGTGGGAATGAATTTATGAATTTGCACGAGCTGTGCTACATTGTGTTACATCCGAAGTCATGTCATATCGGGTTCCACGGTATATCAAACATATTCCAACCAAGTTATTAGTCCTTTTTTTTTTTCCTTATAAAAAGCCTTATTTTTAACCATTATGGGAAAACATCATATGCAACAATGGAAGGACTTTTAGGTTACACCATTTCATCCGTTAACATTTCAACATTTTGTAGTTTCATGCATCAAGGTCACAATTTTTTTTTTATTTCCCAAAAGTCACATAGCAAACACTCAAAGTGATTATTTCAGACATGCTCTGAAACCTCACATGCTTGTTTCTTCAAGTTACTCTAGACAGACTTCAAGAGTCCTCCATCATGGAGTCGGTGACCTACATAGATGCGGTGACCTACTTCTGCGAGATGATGCTTGAGAGAGAGCTGGAGGCACTGAAGAGAGGAGAGGTCTTTTCCAGGAAACAAGGGGAGACAACAACGCAGGCTAAAAACACAGTTCTTGTGCTCCCCAAGATATCACAGTAAGTGGGGAAATGTGTTGCAATAAAGAGTTTCAATTTAAGCGGATTGGTTCAGTGTTCTGATTATGTAAACATTGTATGAGTAAGGACACTTAGAGAGCTTTGCTTGTATATGTTCAGACAAAAATTGTGTTAAGCTAACTCACTGATTGGAAAGATCTACTCAGCAATGTAAGTCTCTCTCTTTCTGGATGATCTATGTAAATACTCTTCACTTCAAATCTAATATTTTAAATGAATTGTTGCCTTTTCAAAGTGAAGCTCAAGGATTTTGGGGGATGACACCATGACAAATTTTTACTTTATGAAAAGTAGGGGTACGAAATTATTTTATGTGGATTTGAAATAACTTTAACATTTCCCCCAATGATGGTATTTTTCAGCTCCAGATGGTCAAACAAAATCTTTTCATGCGTCAAAATATTAAATGTGTCAAAATTTTTTTTTTTAAATTTTCGAATTTTAAAGCAAGACATATTTCTTTATGGACTTTGTATGTCTCCCCCCCAACCCCCTTTATGTTATTTCCTTTGAAAATATGTATGTCTAATATGGATGCATTTGTTTCATCAGCAAACCTGCTTTGGTCAGACTTGGAGAGATGCACACCAGCAAATGTCGTAGAGAGACCATTTTACACACTGGTAAGTCAAACAGGATTTTTTTTCCATCTTTTCTTTCATTTATGTGGTGCCATTGCTAAAAGTTGTGCTCATTTGATATACAAATACTACAATGGACTGATACTATGTTACAAGTGGCTCGGTCTGTAAGTTTCAAAGATTAAATCTTCTGTACTTCCTTGATGACATGAACAGAGCACCAGTGTAAATGACATTTTCATCTTTAAAAATTTGTTTCGCAACTTCTTATTCAAATTTTTTCTTCTCCGCCAGATTTCCGAATGCCGCCCATCACACAGGGCAAACAACAAGCCCCGGGTGATCTTCATGGGTTCGTCTCTTATATTAACCTCCCCTTGAAGCATGTCCACCTGCAGCCGTTTCTCTCCGCATGGGATGAAGATGAAGAGCTGCTGAGACGACCTGTCCTGATAACCCTCAGGTCGTCCCAGAAATATTTCATCCCTTCTATGAGCCATGTGCGTGTCGAAGACCAGCTGGCCGTCTGAGAGCATTTACTGCGTTTTGGAGTCAAAATTGTAATTATTTGTTTTTTTCATTGTAAAACTGAATGATGTGTACAGTTGTTGGTATCACTAAAGATGTGATGAAATTTGTGAAGTTTTTTTTCCAAAGTTATTCACAGGAAGATCTGACGGAACAAGACAACAATGATGGCTTTGGTTCTTCACCCCAACATAAGTCATAAGGTTCAGGATGAGATGTTGTTTGTCATGCATCATTTGACAACATGTGCTGCATGTCATAATGAATACTGGTTCTCAGGAAAATTATTTCTTTCAAAAACTACAGTCAGCTGTTGCAGTGTCAAAGAAATTTTCAAAATCATTTTAATGTTTATTCTTTTATTTTTGTGTGTGTTAATTATGCAAAATGTTGTGTTTTTTTGTTGTTTTTTTATTATTAATCATCATAATTAGGTTAGCCTTAAAGCTGTTCCAGGAAAGACTTGCTGTTCCAGGAAAGACTTTGACTGCTTGATAAGATGGATTCAGTCAGACAAAATACATTAAACATCTTAGTTTTGTTTTACAACTATTTTGTTTTTATGCCAGTCATTCAACTAAATCAAAACATTGAAGTTATTTAACTCAAAAATTTCAGTAAATAATAAATTAAAAGAGTTTCTTAATACCCTAAGCAAAATTCTTAAACCAAAACTCTGGGCATGCACACCTTATTAACTGAATCCCTGGGTTAACTCCGCACCTGGAGATGTCCCACCCATCCCCCCATACATCAACTGCGGTAGATAATTGTGTGCCAGAATCAGTCTCATCAGCCACCTGCGCACCCGCAGACTTAATCAGACCCGCAGACTTAATCAGACCCAGCACGATTGCGATGCTTAAAAGGGTCTTGTTCGAATGACGAAATAAAATAACATTTACTGAATCAATGTTTTTGGAAATTAATTGTACTCAATTTAAATGTAAAGTTTTGTTTTGGCAATTAATTGTACTCAATTTAAATGTAAAGTTTTGTCCCTTAGTTCAACGCCAAAGTGTTTTTGTTTATTTCTGGACCTAAAAAAAATAATTCGTTGCCTGTCATGTTTCCATAAGTTTTTTTTGTTTTTTTAGTTTATTTGTGGACATTTGACATTCCTGATAATTTTTACAGGGGCTTGAATACTTCTGTCCTGTACAAAAGTGTGATATTACATCCCTTTGTTCGTGTATCTCTCTGGCTGTGATATGTCTGGTAGCTACAATGTCTTATGGTGCATTATAATGTATATATTTATACACAGTACATATAAATTGTTCATATTTGTGTGGTTGAATCTAATAAAATCCTAAGCTATTTTAATGAAATTATAATCTTGTTTTTTTTTTCAGCAATAAAATGTTGTTGTTTAGTTTTTGGTCAAAACTTTAGTTAAATCTGTTTGTTCTTGGCTTACTTGGGAATGGGGAAAAGCAATGTTGTTCATATATACCTATATATACATATATATCTATATGTTATAAATTTCTTTAAAAAACTAAAGTTTAGGGTTCTTATAATTAGTAAGGGCCCCAAAGTCTCATTTGAGGTGAAGGCAATCAAATGTCAACAAAAAATGTACGAATTGCATTCATGTGAAAAGGGATATGCTGACAGAAACTTAAGGGCATAGGGGTCCTCGGTCAACCAAGACTGAGATGGATTGACGATGTAGAGAAGGACTTAATCAGCTTGAGGTCCGCAGGGGGAGACGTAGAGCCATGGATCAATCCCAATAGAAGGTTGTGATGGAACTATTTTTTAAATATATTTATATATATATATATATTTTTTGAAATTCAGTAATGAAAAGTTGTAGGCCTATCCAGAGGCGTAGCGAGGGTGTTTGGCACCCGGGGGACTAGATTCGCGCCCAGGGACGAGATTCATTTTAAAGCGCCCCCCTTTTTATTTTTTTCAACTCTCAAACCCATTATTTTCATCAATAAAAATAATGTCAAAGCCCATTTTGGTGCCCCTAACTAGCTGGCGCCCGGGGACATCTGTCACCCCCTAACCCCCCCCCCTGCCTTCGCTACGCCTCTTGGCCTATCTGTATATGTGATTAAGGATGGGGAGATGGGGAGGCGGGGGGATGGGGAGACGGGGAGGGAGGAGGGGGGGACAAACCCATTATTTTCATCAATAAAAATAATGGCAAAGCCCATTTTGGTGCCCCCAACCAGCTGGCGCCCGGGGCCCTCCGGCACCCCCTAACCCCCCCCCCTGCCTTCGCTACGCCTCTTGGCCTATCTGTATATGTGATTAAGGATGGGGAGATGGGGAGACGGGGAGATGGGGAGACGGGGAGATAGGAGATGGGGAGATAGGAGATGGGGATAAGGGGAGATGGGGAGACGGGGAGATGAGGAGATGCGGAGATGGGGAGACGGGGAGACGGGGAGATGGGGAGATGGCGGATCGAGAGTTTTAAGATCTACATTTTTAAATTATGATCTTTTTTTTTTTAAAATCATTGCCAAATACACTCTTTACAGAGACCACGGGGCCGACGACGGTTCCATAGATTGATGATGTAGAGAGGGACCTACATCAGCTGTTGGGGGAATGGCGTGGGCGGTGTCCACGTAAGCAGACGAAAAGAATAGTAAATTAAAACAATTTACAATTTAATGCTAAAAAATAAAACAAAAACTTTCAAATTTTTTTTTTAATAAAGTAGCTGCTGACATCTGCCGAATGGATGCATATTTTAAATATATATTATGTAATGTGTAGATGTAGTGTAGCTGGAGTGAAGAACGATGAGAAACTATTCCGGTTACTGATTATACTGATACATACATTCACGCCTTGATAATTATTATTTATGATTAATTTACCCTCTCTTTATATTCACCACGTTTTACGCAGTGTGCCTTTACAGCATCCTTAAATATATCTCTTATGTCCTATATTTCGCTTGTGGTGTGACTGCTTCCATTTCCGGATAGCACGCAAAATATAATTCCCGATAACTACGCTCAACGTGGTTGGTGCGTAGCATTTTCTTTTCGGCAAATGAAATCGTCTTTAATTGGGATTCTCAAATGTGCGTTACTTGAGGTCATGTTTTGTCAAGTAACTTTAGTAGATGCGAAATTCACGCATTGCTGTCGCCAATGTTTGGCGAGCTATAACTAGTATAGGCCTATACATTTATTTCTAACCTGTAATGTCAATTCCTGAATTTTTAACGTGTAATAATTACCGAAAGCAACAGCATATGCCTCGGTGTTAATTAATTTTTTTAATTTTTATCTGTTCTTGACTCTCCAGCCCTAATGGTGTTAACGTCAAATGGCTGCCACTTACTGACGTCATGGGTAGGTCGCTCGTCAGATTGAAGAAGAGGCCAAGCCAAGGGAAGCACGTTCCCACCACGGAGCGATGACATGTATTCAAAGATTGCTTTCAAGGGTGGGTTCGAGAGTTTGAATCAATTTTCTCCCCGCTGATGGCGCCCCGACAGAAGCAGTTAATCTTACAAGCCTTTCGAGGCGGCCTGCAATCGTGTGTGAACTTTCTCAATTTGCCTTTCGGGAATTTCTACCCCACCCCCCTCTCCCCCCATATAAAAATCAATAGAGACCGTCGTTTGCATGACCTGAAAATACATCGTCACTTTGGCTTCCATGAGATTACAACGTCATATCACTTTTACATGGGGAGTTCTCAAATAGTTTTTTATTGTAGTTAAAGTCCCATTTTAATTATTGAAAGAAGATAAAAAATGAGTAACAATTTTATTAATTCGTGACACGTCAGGGGTACCTCCAACCACCGCCCCCACCCCCCCAACCCCAAAAGAAAAA